GTGTGTGCCATGCATATTTTGTTATCAAAAGAAATCACTTTTGAGGAATGTGATTTAGCAGATGAAATGTTGGTCGATTTTTTTTGTTTATTGCCTGAGCTTTACGGTGATGAAAGTTGTACTATCAATGCCCACAGTTTAACACATTTGTCACATTATGTAAAATTATGGGGCCAATGTTGGACTCATTTGGCCTTTCCTTTTGAGAGTCATTACGGTTCTCTTAGAAGAGCTGTACATTCTACCAGAAAAGCTGCTGAGCAACTATCATTCAGTTTAGATGTAAAGCTCACATTACAGAAAGTTTATTGAGAAATAGAAAGCAGAGAATCACAAGAATGCATGCAGTTTCTCGATTTTTGAAGGCATGCTAAATCTTCTCTAACAAAATTACAAGGATATTCAATTGGCTCAGTCAAAATGGTAAAATTGAATACTGGAAATTATGAAAGATTAAAAAGGCTCTCCCCTTTTGTTCCAAATCAAGTCATGACTTTTGAACAATAAATGTATAAAAATACAGTTTTTAATACTATTAAATATAAAAATGGGGAAGGTAACGCTGCTGTGCATATTGTTACTTTACGGACAACAATGAAGAAAAATATGGCGAAATTCAATCATTTGCTGAGTGTTCACCTATTATTGCAACAGTTGCAATTGTAAAACTATGTGATATGACAGGATCAAGTATTCTAGAAACCTCAGGGGCACCATGAAGAGATTCTTGAAACATGCCCAGTATTCATTGATATCTTGCTATATAATTATAATTAACTCTAACAGCAGTGCTCCTTGTATTGCAGTCAATGTCAGAAATATGTTTTGTAATTGTGTATGTGTCAGAGACCAATCTAAGATGTACATTGTTGAAGTACCTAACAATAATGAACACTTTTAATGAATATTATTTTGATTTTGTTGAAACTTGAAAGTACTGAATAGTCATTTTTAATATCGCAGTTATAATTACTGGTAACCATATATTGTTTGTTTTAATTTTTTAAGATCATGAGATGCCTCTTGTAGGGTCGAAGAATTCTCAGCTTCAGTGCAAGATCCTCTGTTATAACTGGGTCTGTGTAAGATAATAATAACATGCAAAGATGTTGGAGGGTCTTTAAATATGCAAGATCCTTGAATTCAGTCTTGAAGGATCATGCACATCTCAAGACCCTGCAGTAACTTTGAGAGTCATGTCAGAGGTGTATTTAGGGGGGGCTGAGGTGGCTTGAGCACCCCCCTCAGGCTGGGCTCAGAAAAAATTACTGAAGTCCTGGACTCTTGCATCACTACCAAGCCTCTTAACAAAGTTATCTAGCCCCCTTATCATGATTTCAGCAGTTTCCAGTGCTTTGAGGAGCAATCAGAAGTACCAGTAACATAGCAGTATGCTTGAAATGATCTTGGCCCCACCCCGTAATTGACGAAAATGCAGAAAAAGGCCGTTTTACCGCCGTAAAGGTGGGTGTGGCCAAAATTGCGGTGCGCTTCGCGCACCCTCCACATCCGCCTTCTCCAGTTCCTAGATACGCCCCTGCATGTCATGATCTTACAAGACTTTCCATGACAAGATTAGGCAAGTTTTGTTATCTTGTATTATCAAGCTTCATTATAGGAGTTTCCAATAAAATCTTGCAAGATCTTCCAGTGAATTTTTACAAGGGCTATGTCCGGTTTTGAAACTTTTTAAGTTTACATTCAGCTTCAGTTGCCACTTTCCCGCTCACAGCTCTCAAACTTCTCCGCAGTTTTGCTTTGCAACCTAAGTTTTGTGAAAAAGTAGCAAGTCAGTTCAGTTACAAACTTACATTAGCTATATTATTGTTATCTTATAGTTTATGGATTATGATGAGCATCATGGAGTTCCTCCTCCTCCTCCACCGTGGAGGAGGAGGAGGAGGAGGCACACACAATCAATATGATTATCAATATCCAACTACTAGGATATTGATAAGAATTTAATATAATATGAATCAATATCAATATGATTCATTACTTGAAGAAAAGAATTTTGAAATAAAAAACATAAGAAGACCTAACTGCATTATAAAAAACAAATTTTATACAATCTTTATTTTTTGAATTCTTGAATCATTAATTATATTCATGGCCTAGCTCATAATTATTTCTCATTTTTACCATGCATTACTAAAATCTATTTCCTGTTCTGAAACTACTTAAGTTTTTACATTCAACTTCAGTTGCCACTTTTCCGGCAATATCCGCAGTCCGCATACAGCTCTCAACTAAACTTTTATAGAAGTTTTGCAACTTTTTTGAAAAAGCAGCAAGTCACTTCAGTTACAAACTTACATTAGCCATCAATATATTTTCTTATTTTTTGGTAGTTTATGGATTATGATGAGAATGATGGAGTTCCTCCTCTGCCAGCAGCTGGAAATGGAGGGCCTCCACCACCACCACCACCAGCAATAGCTCGAGGCCCGCCACCTCCACCACCACCTCCAGTAGCAATCCCTTTACCTGGAGGCCTGCCACCTCCTGCAGCTCCACCTGGAATGGCAGCTCTGCATCAGCAGAGACAAAACATCATTTGGCAACTTTGCCAAAAGATTTAAAAATAATCTGAAGTACCATTTTAATCAACTCTCTCTCCATTTTACTTTAGTACAATAATATTCCAAGAGCCAGAGGCAGGAAGAACACATATACCAAGAACTATAACTTTTATTTATTAGATCTACATGTAAAAAATAACTTTTTTCCTTAATTATAACATGATAAAAAGTCAAATATCTTTCAGTGTAAAGCCATATTAGAGAGTAAAATAGAAATGCTCAAGATTAATAGTGCTCAACAAGGCAAAACAATTGGAATACTTGAGCTTCAATCTTCCTACAATGTGTTATATATAACGTATAATAACCAGTAAAGAAAATACTTACTGTAACTGTGGCCATGATTAATGAGATAATCATCACAAGAATTATAGCCTTGGATCATAATCTAAAACACAATAATAAAAAAGTATGGAATCTCACAATATTCTATCTTCTTATGTATTCAATTGCTAAGACTATGCCGATATAAAACCAGTGCAGCTAAAAACTGGCCCATCATCCAATATGAAAGCACAACTGATGAAAGAGCTACAATAACACATAATGTTACAATGATTATTATTAGAAATAAATTTAGTTATCACAAATGAAATCAGTTAATAGCCTTATACATTCACAATGGTATGAAAGTATTACGTTACACCTTATTGTTGAATCATTAAATCATTTGCAGCTGTAAATACCTATAAGCAAAGTAAAAAAAAACATCATCAACAGCAAGCAATGTAAACACACAGTATATATATGCTATACTAAATATGTACATGTATATATGCATGATGTAACTTATGTTTGTCACAAACATACATTACAAACCACTAAAAAGATACATCTGCTCACAAAGAGGAATAACCCTTCACCTTTTAAATCTCTTTCAAAGTCTGACATTATTCTTTAACACCACATTGCAGTCCTTGCATAAAATATGTACCTGTGCAAATTATGAATGTGAATTAATAAATGTAGTGACAAATTAACAGTAGAATACATGCTTTTAGCAACAATTAATAAACATATATGACATGTTTAGCTCCACAATGCATATTAAGCTGATTGAATCATACATGTATATGTACATATACTGTACATGTAATTTAGACATACACAGTTCAATTTGCTGACTCATGCCATCCTGAATTAAGTTTCTTTTACGAGACTTGCAATGGGGAAATAGACATTAATAGACCACATGAATACATTCCAAAGTGCAAACAATTATTTTTGTATTGTTAATGGCACCCAACAAAAAATGCATTGGCAAGCATTTGTAAGAAACAATTATTGACAGTCACTTGATTCATTATCATTAATCATTATTCATGATCACATGTTATTATATAGTTATTATTATATAGTCCGCCCACACACACACACACATTATTATATTCATTTTTGGTGAGAGAGAGAGGATTTTTGATTACACTTGAATATAAAAGAATCTCCTTCCATCTTGATTACACATTCATTTATATTGACTAAAGAAAGTACTTACTGTGGCCATTGTTAATGATATAATCATCAAGCTAATCTACAGTATGTAACCTCGAATCATAACCTATAACAAAAATACATAAGACATGTCACAATACTCTCAGTCTTACTACATATTCCATTGCTAAGACTACAATAATATGAAACCTATACAGATGTAAACTTGCACCTACTACTGCGTGATACAACTACTGATCAAGGAGCTGCAACAAAACATTAAGAACGAAATTAATTTAGTTTCAACAATCTAAATCCAGAATTGCCTATAATTATATTTCACTTTCCAATATCAAGCAAAAGTATTGTTGAAATAGCGAATCATTTCCAGCTGTAATTACCTGTAAAGCATAGTAATAGAAACATATCAAAAGCAAGCAATGTAAACTCACAGACTAAGAATAATAATAGCACTTACCAATCACATCAAACCTCACTCTTTAACACCACCTTGTAGTCCTTGTGCCAAGTACATAGGTACCTATAAAAAGTATGTATGTGACATACTATCTAATAACGAAAATGGTAGCATCTGCAATGTTTCTGATTGGATCATGCATGGCATGTATTTTATATAAAATATAAAATAACATTGTGCACATGAAGAATTTCCAATGTGCAAACAATTTTTTTGTTAATGTGAACATGCACATAATTACAACAATCATCAACAAAAGATGCGCAACATCAGCTGGCAAGCATTTATTATGCACACAGCATTGATTGCAGCATCATTGAAATGCGCAAAATCAGCCGGCAAGCATTAACTTAATAATGCGCACAGCATTGATGGCAGCATTATGCGCAACATCTGGAAAGCATTTACATATATGTAATGCGCATAGCATTGATGGCAGCATTAACATGTATGATGAACATTAATATGTGTACCAAATCACTGTTTGAATGATACTACATGTATAGTGAGAACTTTTATTGTTACTCTAAATTTTGCTTGTCCTTCAAAATTTGTCAGCAGCGCCCTTGATCCATAAGCACCTGATATTTGTTATAAACATGTAGTACAAGCCACAAACAAGATCGGGAACTGATAATGACAGCTTCCTCCCTTCCTAACCCTCGGTCCTACATAAATGATAGTCACACAAAATTGAATCAATGCTAAACTCTAATGAACGGTAAAACTCTTTCACACACTCTCCCTGTCCATTTTAACAACAAGTAATCAATATTCACTGTTATACATTGATTAATCTCACATCATGAATGCAGTTTGATCACTTTATACTGAGCAATAATGGGTGGATATGCACCACTGGTTTGCACACACTCACATTGCACATGCAGTGAAATAAAAGTCACATTAAACAACCAATGTTTTAAAGATGATGGACCTCCCATTCACAATACCCACTTCCATCGACAATCAATGCTTAAGAAATATTAATAGACTGAACTGCTTGGAAACAATTAGTACCAACATGCTTCAAATACAAAGCAGGTGTAGTAGTGTCACAAGGAATGCCATACAACTCCTGGGTTCCAATCTAGCCCAGCCAACAAAAGTAGGAGTGAGTGAATATGAATATATGGTTATACCTAATAATGCTGTTAGTGTAATAATCTCTGTGTCAGTGGCCCACATAATTTCTATACATTTTTGACTTATTTATGTAATCATATATGCTTGAATATCTGGTTGCACTTAACGTATTATTAAACAATTCTTCTTCAAAGTTTGGCATATTACTAACAATTGCTCTACGTAATTCATAATGCTGAGAAATGGATGCAGTAATGAGATATGAAAAGGCATAAAATAAACAGTTCTCATCACCAGGGACATCAAGAGTACTATTAGAAACTCTTTCATCTGACAATGGTGTTGTTGGACTGCCAGGTAAGATTCTAGCAGCTGTTATAAACTTAAGGATCAATATCTCACACCACCTTCTTGGAACTACTTCATTAGCAGGGTAATAAACATAATCCCTTTATCTCCTCCTAACATTATCTGGATTGGGAGTCTCTTCATAAGTAAAGATGACATTATCATTTTTTTTGGATTACTTGTCTTTAATTTAATGCTTGAGAGTTTTATAGATACAATCAGACCACTACTACAATGGTCATTTTTTACAAAACTTGGTTTTATCATCTTTTGGTTTACATTTAATGTTTGAGAGTTTTATAGATACAATGAGACTACTACAACTATCCTCATCTTTGACATTAAATTTAGTTTTAGGCCTTTCAAAATAATTGAAACAATTAATTTATCATCTGTTTTTCGGCGAGGCAATGCCAAGGCACTATTGTCAGCACTACTGTCTACATCAACTTTTCTTTTTTGGGGGCAAGGCTTATTTAAAGCATTATCGTGTCATATTTTACTCTTTTTGGGGCGATTAGACTTTTGTAAATCAGTACTCTTACGTTTATTGCTACTAATGGTACTGTTACTGTACTTTGTACATGACTTACAGACACCTTGGCATTCTTACTACAAGGTTCACCATCATCAATTATACCAGACACTTGAATCTTTCTCTTCTTTCCTTTACTTTTCTTGATTAGAGGTAAGTCTTTTCGAAATTTACTTCTCAGCCTGTTAATTTCATTAATGCACAAATTACTAACTTTAACAGAGAGAGGATCAAATGATAACAAATGTAATCTATTTAATGTGCGTACACAAGACAATGCAACATATGCCATACCATCCCCAAAAACATCAGTAGATAAATCATTAATGGCTGTATCTAGTGAGAGGCCCTGACATTTATGTATAGTTATAGCATAAGAAAGTATAAGGGGAAACTGTTTCTATGTATATACAAATTCTTAGATAGCATAAACTGTTTCTATGTATATACAAATTCTTAGATAGCATAAATCTAGATGTAACCCTTTCTATGTCACAAAGTACATCAATATGATCAAATTTGATGGATATACGTGTAGCATAAATACCCATTACTGTACCAATGGCACCATTAACTAATCCTACAGTCACATCAATATTACATCTTAGCATTACTCTACAGCCTGCTGCTAAAGACAATACAGTTTCTAAACCAGCTGTTTTGCTTGGTTGATCTTTTAGTTTCTGCAATTTTTTTCTTGTTTTTTTGTCAAATTTTGCTGTGATGCCACTTTCATCAACAACATCAACACATGCTATTTCTATTTTCTCAGTTTCTAGACATTCTAACATTAATTCATTGATTTTTTGGCAGGCGTCTACCTTAGAAAATAGGCAAACTGGAGGATTTGTTCCTTCACTTTTCAATTCCCTATATTTTTCTTGTATCAAAACATTAAATACGCGACTCTTAAGCATATCAATAGTTTCATCAGTCGGACAGCCATGCCTAACAGAATCAAGCATCTTAAAGAAAGTTTAGTCTCCCTTTTGTCGCTCATTGATTTCCTGTTCATCATATTCTACTGTTTTTTTCCATATGTTAACTGCATTTGCTACTCCAAGTCTAGTTTTTACTACTTTGTTGCTAATTTTTTTCAATACTGGTCTACCATTAACTGGTGGCAAATGTAAGAGGTCACCTACAAATAAAATATTTTTGGATCCAAACCATTCATCAGTACCAAATATATCTTCTAAGTGCATGTGTAAGTATGCTAGATTTAGATTGGATACCATAGATACCTCGTCTACTATTATATTTTTTTAATTTTTAAGTGTCATTTTAATTCTTTTATGAACTTCTTTACTCAAAGCCCAATATCCAGCTGTCTTTCCCTCATGCTCTATTGGTAACTGAAATAATCTATGTATTGTTAGTCCGCCTACATTAAATGCGGCTATACCGCTACTACAACACACATAATTTCACCACTTTTTGGATGCCATATGTCATCTACTAGGCATTTTATTGCCTCTATCAAAAACGATTTACCAGTTCCACC